CGCGTCGAGATCTCCAGCCGTGAGAGACGTCAACCTAGTCCTTTTTTTACCTATCCATATTCCCGATAAACTAACAGCCATCTAAATTTCCATGCAGGCAAACATCGCTTCTGAAGAATAGAGTAGGGTTCTCCTATCGTTTTTCTTGTCTGGTGTAGCTGCACGGCTCTTATGCTGCTTTGGTATAGGTGGTTTGGGGGTGGGGGGAGACACTCGACGCGACTTGGCTATGGTATGTGACATGCAACTAGGGGGGCGGTGGTGTGGGTGGTGTGTGTGTGTGTGTGTGTGTGTGGTGTGTGGCGGTAAGATTGGGCGTGTGCATGGGCGTGTGTATGGGCGACTCATGCTGCATGGGGTTGGTGGGGGGCGGTGACGGACAGTCGGTGACGCTCCACACCTCGCTGGGTGACATCAAGCTGGAGCTGCTGATGGAGACGCCACTGGCGACAGAGAACTTTCTGGCTCTCGCAGCGAGCGGCTACTACGACGGGACGTGCTTCCACCGCAACATCCCGGGGTTTATTGTACAAGGCGGGGATCCCGAGGGAAGTGGGAGCGGCGGCAAGTCGGTGTGGGGCAAGCCGTTCCCGGACGAGATTGTGCCCGGCATCGGACACAGCGCACGCGGGACGATCTCGTGCGCCAACGCAGGGCCAGACACAAACGGTTCCCAGTTCTTTATTGCCTACGCGCCGCAGCCGCAGCTCGACGGGACCAACACCGTGTTTGGTCGAGTCATCGACGGTTTTGACGTCCTTGACGTCATGGAGCGTGTGCCGAGCAACGATGACGACCGCCCACTCCGCGACATTGTCATCGACTCGGTCACCATCCACGCCAATCCGATTGCGGAGCAGCAGGCGTAGTACGCGGCTGTAGTCCGATCGCCGCGTTCTGACAACCTGTGGCGACCGGCGCGAGAAGGTGGGGGAGGGGGAGGAGGGGGGGGGAGGCTAAGCAGTACAGAAGTAGTTTCCTGATAATGTGCGCGCGTTGCGATTAGAGCGATGAACTAGCTAGTTAGAAAGCGAACGATTTACGAGCGACTCGCGCCTCGAGCGACGATGCTGATGACCGGCCGTCGGCCGCCGGCCGTCGACTCCCGCCGACCGTCCCTGCCCGGCACCCCTCTCTAGCGACCGACCACCATGTCCGCCCGCCGCAAGAAGAACGACGCCGACTCGGGCAAGCTGCTCCTTGGCCGCCCCGGCAACAACCTCAAGATGGGCATTGTCGGCCTGCCCAACGTCGGCAAGTCGACTCTGTTCAACACTCTCTCCAAGCTCGATGTTCCGGCCTCCAAGTACGTCCTCCTTGCCCTTGCTCGCCCCTTCCCCGACCCCGGCGGTCAGCCGCTCTTTGCGACCTACCCCACAGGCCCAGCCCAGCTGCCCCCCCCCCCCCCCCCCTCCCGCCCTTCCCTCCCGCCCTTCCCTCCCGCAGAGCCACCACAGCTGCAAGGCAGAGCCACACGCCACCAAGGGGCGTGGATTGGGTGATTGGGGGTGGCGAGGGGGTGGTGGTATGCGGTGGGGAGGCGGTCGCCAAAGGTCCCGCCCCCCCCCCCCCCCCCCCCCCTCCCCCCTCCTCCCGACAAATGGCTGGTGGTGGATGCCCGTGTCTGGGGCTCTCCGTCTGAGCCTCTGTCTCCGGTTGGGGGCGAAAGTGGTGGTGACGGGAGAGAGGAGCATACCTCAGAGACTCACTGGTGGGTGTTGTGGGTGTTGTGGGTGTTTTCGGTGTTGTGGGTGTTGTGGGTGTTGTGGGTGTTGTGGCGGTGCGTATCTGCTCTGGGTGTCGTACCTGGCCTTGTGTGGTGCGTATCGGCAATGGGCGCGGTTGGTGATACAGCTTTCCGTTCTGCACCATCGACCCGAACAAGGCGCGGATCCCGGTGCCGGACGCCGACTGGGAGTGGCTGTGCGAGAAGTTCCAGCCCGGCTCGCGGGTGCCTGCCTTCCTCACCATCTTTGACATTGCCGGGCTTGTCCGCGGCGCTGCCGAGGGTGCTGGGCTCGGCAACGAGTTCCTCTCGCACATTGCGCAGGTCGACGGCATCTACCATGTGGTGCGTGTGTTTGACGACGCCGAGGTGACGCATGTGGAGGAGTCTGTGGACCCGGTCCGTGACCTGCAGATCATCCGCGAGGAGCTGCTGGCCAAGGACGTGCAGAACGTGGAGCGCAATCTGGAGGCGGCGCTCAAGGTGCGCGGTGACAAGACCAAGAAGGCCGAGGCCGAGATGCTGCAGAAGATCCTGGAGGTGCTCAACTCGGGGACATCGATCCGGCACGCCGAGTGGACCAACAAGGAGATCGAGTTCCTCAACACGCTCTTCCTCCTCACCGCCAAGCCTGCGGTGGTTCTCGTCAACATGTCCGAGCGCGACTATCTCAAGAAGCGCAACAAGCACCTCAAGAAGCTCTTCGAGTACGTGCAGACCAACATGCCGGACGACCCCATCATCCCGTTCTCGGGCATGGTCGAGACGACTCTCCTGCAGATCGGCGAGGAGCAGGCGGCGGCGTGGTGCGAGTCCAACAAGGCTTCGAGCGCCCTCGACAAGATCGTTCTTGCCGGCTACAAGCGGCTCAACCTCATCCACTTCTTCACCTGCGGCGCCGACGAGGTCAAGTGCTGGACCATCCGGGAGGGGACCAAGGCACCCGGCGCCGCCGGCACCATCCACACTGACATGGAGAAGGGCTTCATCTGCGCAGAGGTCTACTCTATTGACGCCCTCCGCGAGCACGAGACCGAGTCGGGCGTCAAGGCTGCCGGCAAGCTGCAGCAGAAGGGCAAGACGTACGTTGTCCAGGACGGCGACATCATGTTCATGAAGTTCAACCCGCCCAAGGCGTCCAAGAAGAAGTAAGCCATCGCTTTGCTGCCACCGTTAAACTCCATGTCGGCCATTGTTGCCGTGCCGCCGCCGTGTCGCCGCGTCATCGCCCCCCCAAACCCCCGCCGGCGGTCTCGCCACCTCCACCGCCACCCGCTCCTCGGCACTCCCAGAACAGCGCGACTCGGCTTGTGTGCCGTCACTCCTCCCTTTCACCACCCGTGCCGCAGGGCGAGGTCGCTGCCACACCACCCAAGCCTCCCACACCCCACTCTACCCTACTCCACGCCACTCGCCACCCATCCCCACCCCCATCCCCACCCCCATCCCCACCCCCCATCCCCCCTTACCTCCTCCACTTCTCGGCCGAGTGCGTGTGCTGGTAGTCGACAAGTCGGGAGACATGGAAGCTTCGTCATCGCCGTCACAGTCGCTGAGACGGAGCACAAGTTTGACGACTCGCCGACCACACGGAAGCAGCAATGGCCTGCGAAGGACCTCGTCAGGACTGCCGCCGTCACCGAGGCTTGTGCGCACGCCTTCGGCTGGCCCGCGCCGTCCGAGCGACATCGGCACTGCATCGCCAACTCGGGCCTCGCCGACGTCGACGTCATCCATTGCCGCCGCATCGTCCCGCAAGCGCCGTCGGTTGTCAGGCATGGGCTCGAGAAGTAGTGGCATGGATGACCAGAGCGCAGAGTCTACCCCTCCAAATGGGCGGACACCCAAGCGGATGCGGCCGCTGCGCCGCACGACGGCGACGACGGCGACGACGGCGACGACGGCGACGACGGCGACGACGGCGACGACGGCGACGAAGGCCAGGTCGTCGACGGCAACACCGGCTTCTGCGACTGCAAGCAGAGCCAGCTCGGCGGTGCCGACCATCGACCTCACCGAGACCATCGACTTGACCGGCGACGATGAGCCGGAAATCGCTGCTGCGCGTGGTGCGCTGTACCCGTCGTCTCCGACCGATGCGTCGCCTCGTCGGGTGATGCTGGCGCCGTCGACCGGCGACATCACGCCACCGTCGCTGCGTGCAGCGCGGCGGGAAAGCGCAAGACAGACTCGGTCGCGGTCGCGGCAGCAGCGGCTTCGCCGCAGCGGAACCGGGTCTCGGTCCTCGCCGGTCGACGTCGACGCTGACGAGGAGCTGGCGCGGGAGCTGGATCGTGAGCTGAACGGCGACAGAAGAAGCAGCAACCGCGGCAGCCGGCGAAGAATGCTGCCTCTGGTGCAGATGCCACCGATAATGATGAGTGGGCTCCGCTGGCAGAGCCGGAAAGCAGTGGAGTGCGCATCATCGAGGTCCGGCTGGACATGCGGTCGTTTTCGCGGCCACTGGGCCAAGCCGAGGTGCGCAACTTGTTTGCGCAAATGCGGCGGAACCCGCTGGAGATGCTGCGGTGGGCGACGCGGGCGGGTGTGCCTGCGCGTCATGTGGTGACGACGCCGATCCGTTTTGTGATTCGATCAGCCTCGCGCAGCGGACGCGAGTTCTCGCGCACCTCGCCGATCATGGCTCCGCTGATGGCGGCCTTGGTGTCTTCAGGCATATCGCATGACATGCTCACGGGCGACGACTACAGTCGGCTGCTGCGGCTCGACGAGACGGTGACCAAGCCGACGGCAGCGACCGACGCCGACCTTGCGGCGCTGCCTCCGCCCACCACCCTCGCCGCTGACAGTAGCTACTGCGGCGAGCGGTGCACGGTGTGCCTCGATGACTTGACAGAAGGCACCGAGGTGCGAATCCTGCCTTGCGCCGGCAAGCACGCCTTTCACACTGCGTGCATCGACCAATGGCTCCGCGTTGATGGCGTGTGTCCGGTCGACAAGTCACTGGTCGTCAAGCGAGACTAGTGAATATGTGTGTGTTTGTGTGTGTGTGTGTGTGTGTGTGTGTGTGTGTGTGTGTGTGTGGACGGGGGGGAGGGGGGGGGGGGAGGACGGGTAGGGGTCG